GGTGCCCGTCCCCGGAAGCGGCCCCTGGCGCCGGCGCCGGCCTCCGGGGCGTCTCGTGCCCGGCGGCGGGGCGAAGGCGGCGGGCTTCGACTTGGGTCTGCGGGACTTCGTTGTTCCCTAGCGGCAGTAGGGGCTGCGAGAGGACGGTGGTACGTTGCATCCGCGGGCTGGCGACGGCTGCGGTCGGAAAGGCTCCGAACTCGTGTGTGTTAAATCATACACTTGTAAAAGGGAGACATTTACTCCTCGGAAGATCTCGCCTGACGGCTGGGGTTAAAGGTGCTCGCCACGGCACTTGGCCTCCGCAGACCATTTAAATTCAGCTTTTTAAAAGTTCACGTACCGCTTCTCGGCCTTTTGGCTGAGGTCAAGCGTAAAGTTCATGTATTAATATGTCTACAGAAGTCTAGATTCCTACCTCATCTTTGCTTAGTACTGCGAATGCAAGCGTCACGTGCCCATTCTGTTTTCATGTGGTTGGGGATTGACCCCAGAGCTTTGCCACACTAAGCACTCATGCCAGTCTATTCCTCCCACCGCTCCTTGACTTTTACTACAAGGTGATAGTCGTTTCACCAACCTAGGAAGATTGTTAAGGATTCTGTGATACTTTAAGTACTGTAGTACTGTGATTTAAGTACTGTAGTTTTAGAAGAATGCAGTTTTCAAGTTGTGTAATTTTTCTCTTACTGTCCTGTCTTTTGCTTTTCCAAAATACTCCTTGTGTTAGAATTATTGGAAGTTTACCAGATGTGTGAGAATATTCTTAACAGGGGTTTCAGACTGTAAACAAATGTAGAGAGGGACACGGAGTCCTTCATGTTAAGCTTTTTAAAAAAGTAAAAAGCACTTGAACTATTGAAACTTCGTTTTTGCTTTAAGCACGGGCTTGCTTCGAAGGACTGATACGAGTTTCTCTTGCAGTCACCTTAAGCATGTTACAAAAGTGCTTCATTTTGGGGGCTGGGGATTTAGCTCAGCGGCACAGCGACTGCCTGGCAAGCGCAACGTCATGAGTTCAATTCCCGGTACCTGAAAAAAACCAAAAAAAAAAAAAAAAGTGCTTCATTTTATGCTAGAAATCATAGCAGGAAGGGGCTGGGGATTTAGCTCAGCGGCACAGCGACTGCCTGGCAAGCGCAACGTCATGAGTTCAATTCCCGGTACCTGAAAAAAACCAAAAAAAAAAAAAAAAGTGCTTCATTTTAAAATATATACAGATAGAAAGTAAGTTATTATGCCCTAGCATATACAAATAGGTTAGCTTGTCCATTCTTTTTCCTAGAGGTTAATATGTTTATAGTAAAGTGAATATTGTGGTAGGACCTCTTGAATATTCATGTGCAAGTTAGAGAAGAGAGAGGAAGCTAATTCAGTTGAAGATAAACATGAAATGGGTAAAAATTCTATTTGAAATCTCAGTGCTAGCTGGACGTGATGGCACATGCCTGAAATCCCAGCACTCAGGAGGCTGAGGCAGGAGGATCGTTGCGAGTTCAAGACCAGCCTGGGCTACAAAGTGAGCTCAAGACAAGGTTGAACTACACAGCAGACCCTGTTTCAAAGACAAAAAAAAAAAACTCAGTGCTATAAAAATGCAGTTTTTCATTAATACTTAATTTGAAACGGCTATTTTAAACTTTTACTTCAATTAATTTTGGTTCCTTATTTTATTTTATACTTTTTCTTAAATAACCATAGCGGTAATTATTACCAGTTTTGTAATTGCTAGCAGAACAAAATAGCAATAGAATGCACAAAGGAATTAAATTCAAGAGAGGGAAGCTTATTATGAAGTTGTCAATTCTAGGTTCTTTTTTTTAATTAAATGTTCATGCAGTCCTTGCTGTGTGCCAGGAGCTAAAGATTTCATCATAAACAGGACAGATAGCGTGATTTCATGAAGCCTACAGAAATGGCAGTGTTATTCTGTGTATCTTGAGTCTTTGGTCTATTATGTCAGCCAGTTCTATCAGATAGAATGTGATAGCTGTGATGGCAGTGATTTCGTATGTGTGAAATAAATCATACTTTATTTGGATGTTTAAGCATTGAAAATTAAAAAAAAAAGAAGTTCCCAAGCCCAGGCGTGGTGGCGCACACCTGTAATCCCAGCACTCAGGAAGTTGAGGCAGGAGGATTATTGCAAGTTCAAGGCCAGCCTGAGCTACAGAGTGAGCTCAAAACCAGCCTCAATTGCATAGCGAGAACTCGTCTCAAAAAGACAAAAAATAAATAAAATAAAAGGAAGTTCCCGTGTTACTTTCCTTGCTTTGATTTTTGTGTGTAAATGTGTTAGGGCCACTACTTGTAGGTGTGATGCTTGGCATACATGTTGTATTTTCTTTGTGTGTGATTTAATGTGTCAGCAAATCTGTAGTTGTTGTAATTTAAAGAGATTACTGAGTGACCCATTACAGTTAATAATTGAACATTTAACAGTTGAAATATTACTAAGGATAATAGAATAAATGAAGTTAAAATTTCAAAACATAAACAGAACATGGCAGACTTTTCAAATCTTTGTTAATTTAATTGTCAACTGTTGTAATTTTCAGATAGCCAACTTCTAACTAATTTTAAGAGGTAAATGAAGCAACCATTGCAAAAACAGATTTTTGCTTCAGCAAAATTTGGGAAGTCATCATAGGAGAGACCACTAGTTTCACTGTGGACAGATATCCCTCAGGGCAAAGAAAAGGCAAACGTTTGGGCAAGGCACTTCAAGAGTTGTCCAAATAAGAGGAGACAGAGCTTGGAATACAAAGGTGGTGGTAGAAGTTCGAAGAGGTTGAGAGCTCTTGAGCAAGTAAAGTTAGTAGCTTTAGGTGATGGAGTAGTTGGTCCTTTGCATCCATGGGCTCCACATCCATGGATGTAGCCAGCCAGGGAGTGAAAATACATTCGGAGGAGAAACTGCGTCTGTACTGAACATGTGTAAACTTTGTTCCTTGTCTTTATGCCCTAAATGATATAAGTAGCATTTGCGTTGTATTGGGTGTTACAAGTGATCCAAAGATGATTTAGAGTACATAGGGTATGAGTGGGTTCTGTGGGAACACTGTCCTATTTTATAACAGACTTGAGCATCTGTAGCTTTCGCTATGCAGTGCGGGTCCTGGAACCGCTTTCCCCATGGCCCCTTGTAGGCTGAAGGGAGCTCTGTCGCAGATGACTCCTGAGTTCTGGAATGAGGCTCTGCCATTCCCTGGTGTGATAATTAAAGGAGACGATTTGTGTGGACTAGTTTTCAGTGTGAAGGAAGTGAAGAAATACTGAATTTTGAAGACTGAAGACAGCAACTGGGAGAAAATCCCCACAAAAAAATTTTATCACTCCAGAGTAGGCATATTAATTTAAATTATAAAATTTGGCAGTTGCAGTACTTCACCAAGCCAAATGTAACAGGGGATTTGTAAGATGCACCATTACATACCATTTAGAAACAAAAAATACTACTGTTTAAACCATGACACAAAATAATCATAAGAAAGCTGGATATAGTGGCATATGCTATAATCCTAGCACTTGGGAGACTGAGGCAAGAGGATCTTTGTGAATTTGAGGCCAGCCTGAGTTACATGGCAAGGCCCTGTCTCAAGAAAACAACAAAACAAAACAAAGATAATCATGAGAAAAATCCTGAATCCCAACACCTGGGAGGCTGAGGCAGGAGGATTACCATAAATTCAGGGCCAGCCTGGTCTATGTAAGGGAGA